CAACTGCGTCCAACAAATAGTATAATGTATGATTCCAAGATATATCAGGTTCTGTTGCAACACACGATTATTTTTGCTAGTAATGTTAAAAAGCCAAAATTTCTGCCACTAATTATTTTATGTCCAACATAATCCTAAAGTGGCTCGGCTTCGGCCATCAGCTCTAAAAAATGTCCCCGCTCAATTTTCTCCGTCAATTGGAGCCGACACTCATTAATATTAGTTATAGATAAATATAAATTTTAATAATAAATATAGTATTTTAGATCTTTGAACTCTTTATTTTCTATAATAAATAATCCACATAAACCTTAAATAGTTTGTCATCCAATCTAATCTATTCTTATATATACCTATACCTACCTAATATTAGAGAGAGATTTTGTTTTTTAGACGCTTCTAGAAACTCACCTCGGGACTCGAGTCCATCCTCCACATGTCAATAAACCTAATCCAAATCCAATTTGACAACCCTACCTTCCCTTACGTCCTATGTGCTCCATATGTGACACCGACTCATGATCTGTACTCATACAATTTAGAACAATTTGTAGGATTCCAAGATGTATCGAGTTCCGTTGCTAGTTTTTACTCATAGCAAAAATACAATACCTCGTTGCCAGTTTTGATTTGTGACAGCATTACATTTGTGGACAAGTAAAATCTGTGAAAGTATTACAAGTAAATATATTATTTTGTACGAAATGTAATATATAATAACAACATATGTACATGCAGGTACCGGAGGGGGCACTGGAGCAGGAGCTGTCACGGATCCCAATGTGGCGTGCCGGCGAGCCGGCGGAGGTGGCGTCCCTGGTGTCGTTCCTCTGCATGCCATCTGCATCGACGGCGGCCGGACCATCAGTGCCTGATCCATGGCCGCCGGCCGCCGGCCAGAGAAGATTCTATCAATGTGGGGCCAACTGCTTTCTGGCAGGCGTATAATTTGTTTGGGAATTGGGATACAAAACATGACCGTGTCAAATTTGCGTTGTAAGATTTGTCAGTATATATACAGAGTTGAGTTATTCCTTCAACAGCTACAAAGACTTTTCACCACAAACGCGTCGTCAAAATCTTTGGGTTCATGAACAGTTGAACATATCTCGTTGCGAGTCTGAAGGAGCCCGACATGAGCAGAGACAGCGAGCCAGATCCTATGCCAACGCACGCTGGAAATAGGCTGTGGTTTTGGGCCGTACACGAGCGTTGGGCCTCCGCTAACCATATGGGCCGTTATTCGGCTCCGTTTTCTGTCATTCTTCCGCCTCAGGGGCTTAATTCTTCCGCCTCAGGGGCTTAGGGCCGGTTAGTGTTAGGGATTTGGAGCAACTTTAAGAGCCTCGTAATATATTTTCAAATTGCTCACTAGTAGAGAAATGACCTTTCATCTACTTCGATTTTGGGCTTTAGTCTCGATATTTTTTGCGTTCAGGAGTAGAGGTAGAATTAGTCCTGGTTGGAGCTACCAACCGGGACTAAAGGCTCCTATCCTGGCAGGCTTTCGCAGCATGCCACCTTTAGTCCCGGTTGGAGCCTAAAACCGGAACTAAATGTTAAACTTTTAGTCCCGGTTGGTGTTACCAACCCGAACTAAAGGTCCTTCAACCTTTAGTCCCGGTTGGTAATACCAACCGGGACTAAAGGGTGACCTTTTAGTCCCGGTTGGTATCACCAACCCGGATTAAAGGTCTTTCACCCGGGACTAAAGCTATCCCATGGGTCAATTCAAAAGGAGAGTGTCCGAACTACATCACATGTACATGTGGTGTCTGGTTGAGTTGGTAAGGAGTTTATGCGCGAGGAGAGAGGTCCTGGGTTCGAATCTCATACACTGCAAGAGAGGTCTCCCTAGTATTTCGTTTATTTTTTCTCCTGGGGATGGACCTTTAGTCCCGGTTATGTGCCCGGGACTAAAGATCCCAACCTTTAGTCCCGGATTGCTGGTCCCGGTTGGGAAACCGGGAGTAGAGCTAGTTCCCAACCGGGACTAGATCTCATGTCTCCACTAGTGGCTACGAGAAAATATGTTGGAAATATGCTTCTTTAATTATGTCTTCAAATATAGTCATCCTATATTCAGTATTTCTCTCAATTCAAAGATGAAGAGTGAGGCTATCTCTTTAGAGTACGAACAAGATACAGAAGAACAGTTGGAGAGTGAAAAAAATACATACATCGATTTTCATTGAAATGGCTATCCAATTGTTGATTTAGAGAATGAGTTTAAAAAAGGCTCTTGAAGGTGCTCTTAGGTTTTCAAAATTTTTGGGTTTTGTCTATTTAAACTTTGGGACAACACATGTGGGAAATTTTGAAATTTATCTTAGGGCTTCTACTTCTGCCTCAATCTTTATGATTCTTTTTTTTCTAGCAAATTAGACAGTACAAACACTCATACTTAAGTCCTGTTCGAATCTCATGGTCTAAAGTTTAGCCACAAACTTTAGACCACATTTAGCTCTTGTGGCTCCAAACAAGAGATCCAAAGTGCTGTCCAAAGTTTAGCTAATCTCTCAAAAACTTTAGACCATATAAGTAACTAAAGTGGTCTAAAGCTTTAGCTCTTTAACTTTATCCAACTAAACTTATGATCATAGGATCCAACCAAGGCCTTATATACAAGGACAAATACACACCATGCCCCCTCCACCACAAGAGCATCTTCAAAAAATTGAGCCGACACATCTCGAAAATGATGAAGTCACCATTTACCTCGATGTCCATGGAGACTAACAATTATTTTTTTCGCGACCGTGCCAAGGCACGTTTTTCATTAAGAAGAAGAAGGGTTGTAAACGATTACAAATACAGGATGGTAATCCCAAGATTACCAAACCTATACTCAGCGCAATACCAAATGGTTTACATTACAAGAAGGATTTGCGACCCAATGAGCACCTGTTGTGACATTGCTCAAAGCAGCACCAGCAGCGACCTTATTCTGGAGTACCCCGCGGCCGGCCACTCCCTTGCTTCTCCGACGATGAGCAGTAGTACCATTGTTGAATTAGACGATGGTCCTCCAATGATTCTAGCATTACGTTCCTTCCAAAGCGCCCAACCAAATAAGGAATGTCAGGGAGTCGAAGCCCTTCCGGATCGCCTTTGGTAACAGTTTCCTAGCCCGCAACCACCAGACAAACAAGTTTTCCTAACGAACGACGATGATCCCATCCAAGTGAAGCTTTCGAAGTACCTGGAACCAGACTTCCCTTCTAAAGACACCCCATCAGGATGTGTTCCAACATTTTCGGACATTGCGCGCAAAGAACGCAGTCATCCGAGGCCTGTAGGCCAGGCCTCCGAGACTGACAATTATATCCAAGTACGCATACTCATTAATTTGAATGCATGTACACAACGTGCCTCTAGCAACACCTTCCAAAAACTATGTCATTAGATTTCAAAATTAACAAAGTCACCATAGATGTCTTGATGTCAAAGTCTAACATCTATATATGACAAAAAGAAATAACACTATTAAATTTTGGAATAAATCTATATAAATTTGAACACACTTGCTTATCAACTGATATTAGCAACAAGTGGACTAAACACGCTTATTGTGGTCCACATATTGTCCACTTATTGTGGTCCACTTATTCTTAAGTTGATGTCGAACACAAAAGATCACCTCAATAGCACTGCTGTAGTATCAGTTGGTGTTTAGTCCGGCTCAGATTATTTGTCACTGCAATGACAAAAAAGGCTCAAGTTATTAGTACTATATTTGTCACTCGCATCGCAACATTGTACTACTAGTACTTGTTGAAGTTGAACACACAACATACACAAAAACGGAGGATGGCAGTGGCGACCGGCGGCGAGAGGTGGAGCCTGGCCGGCGCGACAGTGCTGGTCACCGGTGGCAGCAAGGGGATCGGGCATGCGATCGTGGAGGAGCTGGCCGGGTTCGGCGCACGGGTGCACGCGTGCGCCCGCAGCACGATGGACGTGGAGGAGTGCCGCCGGCGGTGGGCCGAGAAGGGGTTCGACGTCACCGTGTCCGTCTGCGACGTGGCCGTGCGCGCCGACCGGGAGAGGCTCTTGGAGACAGTGAAAGCGACCTTCGACGGCAAGCTCGATATCCTGGTAAGCTGAAGGTGAAACCATGCTTCTCCTCCGGCTTCGGGAATCCCATCGATCAACCGCAGCTTGACGGCGAAGTAAGTGCCCGTACAGGTGAACAACGCGGCGCTGCTGATCATCAAGCCGCCGGGGGAGTACACGGCGGTGGACTACTCTCGGATCATGGCAACCAACCTGGAGTCGTGCTTCCACCTCAGCCAGCTCGCGCACCCGCTCCTCCGGAACGCCTCCGTCGCCGGCGGGGGAAGCGTCGTCCACATATCCTCCATCGCAAGCTTCCTGGCCTTCCCACAGGAAACGCTCTACAGCGTCACCAAAGGTACGTGACAGTTTTCTTTTTTTTTTCTTTTGGAAAAATGATAGTACATACGTAACACGTCCTTTCGAAATGAAAGGACAAAATAGGGGAACTAGAGACGGGATGAATGGAGCCAAAAACAAATTCCCAATGAACCAAGGAATTTGGACCTACTTGCTCTTGTTGTCGTGCCCATGTGCTTGCGAAGTAGCTACCCAAGGTCTATCCTTCAACTTTCGGTACCTTGGTCCAAGCTTCTGTGTTCATCCTTCACTGACTGTGGTGCATCGGCGTGAATCCCTCGCTTCACCTTCGCCTTCGCCATGGACAGCCATGACACGCTTAACACCTGCAAATCGTAAGCCAAAAGACATGTTTGCAACACCACGAGCTTGCTTCTGGTTGATTAGTCATAAGCAATAACAGCTTAACTACAAAGACTGAATGTGCATAACAATTACTCATCATACACTATGATGAGGGCACATCTAAACCTTGTCATTTTAGAAGAAAAACTCCAAATCATTTTTGGTCTCACTCTAGTGTCCACATATGCATAAATTTATATATCTTTGGGTTGCCCTTACATTCATGATTGTTTATGCAGGAGGACTGAACCAGCTGACGAGGAGCCTTGCTACTGAGTGGGCCCATGATAAGATCCGGGTGAACTGCGTCGCACCTGGCGTGATCATGACAGACATGGCTAAAGAGGTACTCCATGGGTCCTAAAAGGATTGCCATTCTTGTTTTAGGTGTCAATCCATCTCAACTTTAGCAATTACAAATAAAAAAGTACTAATATTTATGATGCTTAATAAGCATTATTAGATATATAATGAAATATATTTTCAATTCTTTGGGGGTACAAATGCTAATACTATTTTCTATGAACATTCAGATTTAACAATGTTTGACTTAGCCAAAATCTAGAATAACATTGTTTTTAGACGAAGAGAGTAAGTATATATTTTCTTGCGGTCTAAACGACAGAATCTATCAAACATAATGTTGTCGAAAAGGATGCAAGGACTTTGAGGATCGACTAAGCAAGAAACTAAAAGAAGCAAGTATCTACGGGCGTGTTTGGGACTGCGTATCCTGCGGCGGCGGCGAAAAGAATCCAATAATCACGCCAAACAGCCTACGGTCACGATGATTGTTTCCACCGCACACGGCAGAGGAATCGCAAAAATGAACTGCACCGCGAGTTTCTTGTACCGCGGCTCGACCCTCGCGGTTCCTATACCGTACCGCGCAGTCCACGACCGCTGTCCCAAACATGCCCTACATCTGTTTTCAGTCACATCCATCACCAGTTCAGGGAACCTTGGTGCGGTGTGTGGTCGGGAGTAGCCGTGCTGTGGATTTTTTAGTTAGTGGGTCCCACAATAATATGTCTACTCCTGCTATATAGCCTCTGGTGGCCTGTGAAAGTACTAACATTCTTGATATAAAATAAATATCATTAGAATAATTATAGAGTATATTTTTATAATAAATTTATTAAGATACATAAATGCTAATACCAATTTTTTATAAACTTATCTGAAAGCATCTAGGCTCCTAGTTGGGTTTCGGTGATTAATGACAATACATGATTACTGTGACTAACGTATGTTTTGCAGAGGCAATTAAGTTAGGTCACGGTAATGGAGATCGATTGGGCAATCATGGTGGTCATGCCCCACGATGGAAATCATTTCGGTTTTCAAAGGATGGACGACAAGGTTAAGGATGGACTAGTTCTAAGTGTCGATTGGAGTTAAAGTGACACTTAGAGTAGTTTAGAACTTTGCTTTTCCTTTGACCGTACTATTAAGGGGTGTATGGACGGATAGCTTGACCTAGGTGAGTCTAGTGAGCTAGGTGTGGTGCACACTTGCTAAAACTAGCGCTAGGTAGCTGCTACAAAGCCCTTAGATCCATTGGAGCAAACTTCATTCACATATGATCGAGAGTTGGAAGTGAATGGAGGGTCAAATACTGACCGGACGCTGGTTTCGGTGTGACCGGACGCTGACGCAGAGTCCGGTTAGTTCATTTGAACAAGGTGTTTTCATTCGGTGTGACCGAACGCTGAGAGGTAATGTGACCGGACGCTGAGGGCCAGCGTTCGGTCGACTCCAGTAAGGTTCCAGAGAGGGAAAATCACGACCGGACACGTCCGGTCACCACTTACACACTGGAGGTCGGGGTGAACTGACCGGAGCGTCCGGTCAACATGACCGGAGCGTCAGGTCACCCCACAGAGGCACATAACGGTTCGTTTTTCAACTCATGTTATAAATACTTCCTCCATTCGTGTGAGGGGGTACTTTTGCTCATTCCAACAGTTGGGAAACTCCTTTGAGAGCGACAAGAAGAGCAAGGTCCTAGTGAGGTGATTGAGATTTGAGAATCCCAAAGAGAGCCCTCATTAGTGAGATCAATAGTAGCAAAGTGTGCATCCACCCTTCTCATTAGGCTTGTCGTGGTCAAGTGAGAGTCCGTGCTTGTTACTCTTGGTGATCGCCATCACCTAGATGGCTTGGTGGTGATTGTGAGCTTGGTGATCATCCGGCGGAGGTCGTGGATGACCCAACTCAAGTTGTAAGCGGTTGTGGGTGATTCACCGTGACGGAGTGTCGAAGAATCAACCCATAGAGAGCACTTGATCCTTGCGCGGATCAAGGGGGAGCTACACCCTTGCGTGGGTGCTCCAACGATGACTAGTGGGGAGTAACGACTCTCCAATACCTCGGCAAAACATCGTCGTGTTCCTCCTCTTTTTACTTTGAGCAATTCAATTCTTGTCATTTACATTCATAGAATTACCATGCTAGAGTAGGATTGGAACATAGGGTGTTAAACTTTTGTACGTTAGATGGGTTAATTAGGCTAATCGTAGGGTTTAATTATTGCAAAGAAATATAGAATAGTCCAATTCACTCTCCTCTTGGACATCTTGATCCTTTCATTATCAAACTTGAACTAATTTGACTGACGCGGATCCTATAACTGCATTCTTCTGTGAACAAAGAAAGTATTTTAGAATTGTAACAAGTACAACCTAACATATCAACGCATACAGCTACCGGCAGCGGTGGTGCAACAAGAGTTGTCACGCATCCCGATGCGGCGGACTGGCGAGCCGACGGAGGTGGCGTCCCTGCTGTCGTTCCTCTGCTTGCCGGCGGCGTCCTACGTCACCGGGCAGGTCATCTGCATCGATGGAGGCCGCACCATTAGCGCCTGATGGACGACGTACGGAACTGATGGATACTTGTTTGTTTGCTCGGTCGTCAATAATAATAATTCAGCTTGGACAAATTATCCGCTGGAAACATGCATGGAACCGACAGAAACGTGCCAACCACTTCATTATTACTCTCTGTGACGTTTTGTTTTGGGTCGGGTTGAAAACATGATTGTGTCAGGTTGTACTGTAAACTTTTCAGCATTCGTAGTTCAGCTGCTCAAAATGAAAGATCTTTCACCAGACCAGCGACATAAATTATTGTTTTTCATCGCTTCCGGATCATGAAAAACAATGGTCCAGAACATGAAGCGACATAAATTACGGAATACAGTAGCTTTTCCGAATCTAAATAAAAGCTCCGGGCCATTTCTTACCACGTGGGCTGGCACACCATACGGCACAGTCCAATTGCTTTTGTTCATCATGTGGACCATGTTTTGGGCCCGATCCGGAATACCACAGCCCACAGGGCTATATACATTCATTTATTTTATTTATTATACGTGGACAGCCAAATTCTGGTTTCTAACCAAATCTTTTCTACACGACGTTGCACCTTCCACATTGTTCCGACTTTGATTCCATTTAGTTTCACAAAAAAAGACTTTGATTTCATTTCTTGGCTATAAAATCAAAATATTATGTTCATAATAGCTTGTTAGAGCAACTCCAACACAAGAGCTATCCATGTTGTGTAATCTATGTTTGAGTATTTTGGGGAAAAAAAAGAGAGTCCAACAGTTATTGTATCTCGCTTTGTAAAATAGTAAGTCATCTATCCCGGAATTCTCGCATAATAGATATAGCTTGCATGTGCCGCTAGCCATTCGCCTCAACCGAATGGAAAAGCTGTTGGAGTTTTCTTTTTTTTTTGCTGGGGTTTATATTTCAGAGGTTGGCTAAATCATGAGTTTAGCCATCTATTTTTACCAACTCTGTTGGAGTTGCTCTTACGAAACTCCCAATGCAAAAATCATAATAGTTCTTATAGATATTATGATTAGCTGATGGAGGAGCCGAAGCCCCCCGACCCGCTCCTTCACATTGTCTTCCCCACCGCGCCTCCCACAATGAATCCTCCCAGATCCGCAACACTCCCAGCCCCCCCTGTAGCAACTAACCTCAGATCCGCAACCACCTCCGACCGATCTACCGTTTGATGGGTCCATCTCTCCATTCCTCACCCAGCACCCCGTGAGTTTGAAGACCCCAACCCAACACTGCTCACGAAGCCGTTCCAGGCACAGCTGCGGATCCCTGGATCGCCGGAAGCCACTTTGGCAACGGTGGCCTCCTTCAGCACCACCTGCAGTGGCCATGGGGCCTCCTCCCTAGCTGGGACGGGCGCCCTCCGCCGCCAACGTGCCAGCCCACCAAGGGTAGTCTTGGCGGTGCATCAGCAAAGTCCCAGCCCTCGCTCGGCCCTCTCTCTCGATGCCACATCCTTTCTACCCCAGCGGTGCCTCGGAGGGCCGCCCCAAGTTCCGCCAGTGGGAAGACGATGGCTTCTGTGACAACTCCGACGATGAGCCTCCACCGGCAGCCTCACCAACTTCCTACCTCGACACAGTCCACAAGATGTCGCAACGGGGACCTTCTCCAGTCAGGGAACCGGTGCCATCCCAGGCTAACGCTCTCGGGGACGGGCCTTGTGTGGCTAGGCGCTCCATGCGGCCTCGTCATAGGAAGCTACAGCGCGCTATCCGCGGTCCTCCTGCCCCTAGGTGGGGAATGCAGGTGGGGCTTCCCAGGTCGCAAGCGTTGCGGCACAGCGTGTGCCAGCCCACCTGAGACTCGGAATGCGAATCCTCAAAACCCCCCTGGCATCGCTTCTCTGACCCCGATGCGGATCTAGGGTGCCGCGGGCACAGGTGCAAGCGTCGCCGCCCCACTGATATGGTGCAAACATGGACGTTGCATAAGCCATTGAGCCGGTGCCAGAGAGGTGCCTGGCCTCTCTCATCGTCCACCCCACGAGGATGTCTGTGGAGCCGGATGCTGAGGGCTTCCGCCAAGTGCACAGCCGCCGTCGCGGGCGCCGTCGGGTGCCGCCACGACCAGCAAGGCCAGTCCCTCCGAATCTCATAGGACAATGCTTCAACTGCCTAGCAAGCGACCACTTCAAGGTGCCTTGCACTTTTCTATCATGATGCCTCAATTGCCGGTGTGAAGGTCACCGGGCTCAGGATTGTTCTCAGGCGGCGGCTACTAGGGGGCAGGCGAGGTCCCCCACTATCGCTTTTGTTCGGCCATCGCCGTGGGGTGCCACATAGGAGGTCGTCGCGACAGCCCAATCTGCACATCGTGGATGACTCGACGTCTGCTCGCTCAGCCTCCATGGGGTGCTTATCTTGTGCCCCACAACCAGGAGGTCACCCATACACTCCCAGCAGTCCCCTCCCCAAATGTGCCAGTGGCGGAGAAGTCGAGCAATCGTTGGAGCCAGAGTGGGGCCCCTCGTTCAGTTCCCTCAATTCTGCCTTCATGGAGACCATGTCCCAGTTGGCTGACATCCCTTAGGACCCCATGTCCTATGAGTGGGGCGCGATGTCAAAGCCGGGTTTTTCGACTGTCGTTCTGTGTGAGCTCGTGGTGGACTGGTGGGGTGGGGCGCGATGTCAAAGCCGGGTTCTCCGACTGTCGTTCTGTGTGAGCTCATGGTGGACTGGTGGGGTGCAGCACGTCGGGAGCCAGAGCTCATGGTGGACCGTCGCTCCGAGGCTCCGCACCTAGCCTTTGACCCTATGCTTGTCGAATTGGACACCTGTCTACGCCCTGGGTCGCTATCTGTGGGTGCGTAGCCCTAAGCCTCGTTGGGAGTGTTGGGGGCTTGTGAGAGCCCAGGACTCTGAGGACTATGGCACGCTAGGGGTTGACAACGCTGCCACCTCCGCATTTGGACTTGGGCTAGAGGATGCACTACAGCCTGTGGCCGAGGATCTGAAGGAATTGTGCTACGACGAGAAAAACGATGAGCTTGCTGCTCCGGTTGCTTCTTTCTCATGTCGCCACATGGGTGGAGGCAGAGAAGACTTCTACCCTGGCACCACTGTCGGTCGCTCCTGCACCTTGCGATGCGCTGCCGAGCCCTGCTGTCCAGGGATAAACTTCTACGCCCTCCACAGTCGTGACTGTGGGCGATGATGTGGCCCAAGTCATGACCCCGAGCGCTCAGCTAACAGCGGCGACTATCGGATCACCTACAGTGCCCGTGGCCTCCTTGTAGGGCCTCATCATATCCCTGAAGCTGCCATTGGAGGAATCGCTGATCGCATCCCCCTGCACCGGCTTGTATCGTGTCTTGACGACTCCGTGTTCGTCCCAAGGTGTAGTGACAGGTTATCTGCCAAGTCCATCCACCGTGACCCAAACCTGGAGAAGCAGGCGAAGCGCGTCTGTCTCAACAAGTGGACATGTAGGCTAGCCAACGGGTCGCAGACACCGGATGCGGCCATTGCGGCGAAGTTCCACGAAACATTTGCTGGGCCGCTTTCTGCCTCCATGTAGGCGGCCATGCGTGAGTTGTTCCTGATGGCTAGAACGCGCATGGACGGAGTGCTGCCCCTGTCAGATTGAGCATGCCTAGCGGGGAGCGCTGACCCAGCAATTTGGTCCACAATTAGTTTCTTAGTTAATCAAACCAGTGTGTGTTCCACCGCCCTGCGGTGCCTTTTGTTTGTGTTCAACCCATCACTAATGGCATCTCACTGTGACGTGATATAGGACGTGTAAGCTTCTAATCTTCTTCTTAATGAACCACGTGCTAAGCACGTTCTAGAAAAAAGTTCTTATAGATATTAATTGCACTCTTAGAAAAACAATTTACTGATGTGGCAGATTATTTATTGAAGAGAAAACCATTGCTTCTTCAGAAAACATTCGCCCACGCTCGCCCACGTAGGGGAGTATTGTGTGAGCCTGATTGCTTGGACTCCCCGCCACTAACTTTGTACGCCCTATCCCTACGTGCGCTCCCATCAGTCTTCCCTCCCTCTGCCTCCTAGATCTTGTTATTTCCAATCGAGGTCCGCCCCAATCCATGGTGAGCCAAAAACCGTCCGCAAATCTCATAGAATGAATCGGTTAATGAAAACAAGTTCTTGGCGAGGCATTTGTGTCCCTAGAACCGGTGATGCTGTGACTCGTGTGGTTGTAACTCTTGATCAAGATGCCAATGCTCCTACTGCTCATGCCACTGGACAGCTGCTCAGAATACCAGTGTTCCTAGCACCAACGCTCCCTCAACCAGTTCATCGCCTATCTTTGGATGGTGGACAACAACCTCTCCTGATGCCAATGATTCATCTTCTAGCAAAGAGTATGGTGCTACTGATTTGAATGAGGAAGCAACCATTAAAACATCTACAATCTCTCAACTTAGAAGACGGAGTTTGACTTGGTGCGGTCTCCATGATCATACTTTGACACAAAGAGTGTAAGGCCAGTCTCAGTGAGAGTTTCATTTATATTTAATAGCCCGCCACATATGCATTTGTGACGACATGGCAATGTTTTAATGAAGAGATAGAAGAATTGACTTTCATGGGGATGAAACTATCTTTGCACGATTATCAATTCTCTATAAGTCATAGAATAAAATGTGTATGAAACCATACAATGAAACTTTGCATTGAGAGTGGGTGTTTCATTTAAGTTTCATTTCATTCTATATGACATGGTAGTCTTGAAAATAACGTAATGAAACTATACACTGAGACTGGCCTAAGTTGCACTTTTTTTTCTATAGAAAATACCTATGGAAACTATGCATTTGGAGTGCCGTAAGCAGAGCAGATATTTGCCATCTACACCCATACGCAAGTACACTACTTGTACTTGTACCGTTGTACCACTAAATTAGTCAATAAGACGGGTATTATTGATATGTAACTGCTGATTTAGCCAATAATGATCGATGATGGGAGTTACCTATACCTAGTACTATCATTCTAGAAGGCCACTGGTCATGCATCCCACAAGGAGACAAATGAGTTTGT